ACACACACACACACACACACACACACACACACACACACACACACACTACGGCATTTACTATGTGCCAGGCACTTTACAATTATTATCTCATTTGATCCTCACAACAACCCTAGGAGGTAGGTGCTGTTATTGTCCCTGTTTTACATGTGAGGAAACTAAGGCAGACAGGTTAAGTGACTTGCCCAAGGTCACACAGCTAGTAAGTGTTTGAGGCCAGATTTAAACTCAGGTCTTCCTAATTCCAATCCCAGTGCCCTCTCCATTGTGCCACCTAGGTGTCTGGGTGCCTGCATGTATGTTACTTCACAGTTATGTTTGATGATGGTGACATCACATTAAAACTCAATGTGTTTATATTTTTCTTTTGTCCTTGAAAACACAGGAGAGACCCTAGATAAAAAGACATTGAAAAGAAGCAAAAATGAAAAGAACAAGAGAGATTCAGTAACTGCAGAAGTCATGACAGTGGACACAGCTTTGCAGCCAGAGTCTCTTTCCAGAGGGCAAAAGAAAAGTGCTTCTAGTTTCTTCAAAAAGCTTAAGGAAGAGCTTCTTTGTGACTCTCCAGAGAGTTCCACTGGCCCCACTCAGACAGAAGTCTCTGCAACAATTTCCCCTGCACCGTTGCTAACAAAGGGAAAAAGAGAACCAGTGGAAGTGGTTGAGTTTCACAGCTGGAATAAAAAGAAGAAAACTGAACTAGAATTGCCCAAGGATGAGGACACAAAGGTAATAAATATCTGTTTATACCTAATTAATACAGTTCCCTGAACCCTCTTGTACTTGGTAATGTACAGGCTTTCTACCTTAATAGTAGTAAATACTGATTTTTTTGTCCTAAAAGTTTTATTTTTATAGGAGAAGATGCCACACACAAGAAAGGCAGCAACTATATAGAATGTGAATTTCTTGAGGGCAGGGATGGTTATCCCCAGAGCCTAGCACAGCACTTGCTGATTCATTAACTCCAGACTCTGAAGGTGTGATTTGTAAATTTAGCTCCTTTGTCACTCTTTGTGCAAGTTACTTAATGTTTGTTGACTACTCAGCTTTCTCATTTTCAGAAACCCCACTTTGTCAAGTCAATAATTATTTATTGAGTGCTTGGTATGAGCCAGGAACTTGCTCAGCTCTAGAAATAAAAATATAAGCAGAAAGAAAGTTTCCTGCTCTCAAGAAGCTTACATTTTAATAAACGAAGACAGCACATAAAAGGAAGCTGAACAGGCTGGGAGAAAGGAGGGTAGAGTCCGAGATCTGGTGCTGCCTGGTAGAGAAAGTCCAAAGAGTCAAGAGTGGATCCTGCAGTGGAATGAAGACTTGGCTGGCTTTTGTTTAAAAGAGAGACAGAGAGAGAGAAGGGACAGAAAAGATTATTTTCTTTTTATTTTTTTTTAATTAATTTATTTTGAATTATCAACAATCACTTCCATAAGCTTTTGAGTTTTAAATTTTTCTCCCCCTCCCTCCCTACCTCTCTCCCCAAGACAGCATGCAGTCTGATAGGCTATACATATACATTTCTGTTAAACATATTTTCATGTTAGTGATGTTGTAAGGAAGAATAAGAACCAATAGGAGGAACCACTAGAAAGAGGAAACAAAACAGAACACAAGAAAAAAAATAGCAAATAGTATGCTTCTGTCTGCATTCAAATTATTTGGATGAGTTCTTTCTTTGGATGTGTATGGCATTTTCCATCATGAGGCCTTTGGAGATGTCTTAGATCCTTGTATTGTTGAGAAGGGCTATGTTTATCAATATTAGTCATCGAACAACATGGCTGTTGTTGTGTACAACATTCTCCTCATTCTGCTCACTTCAGTCAGCATCAGACCATTCAAGTCTTTCTAGGTTTTTCTAAAGTCAGCCTCTTCATCATTTCTTATAGCACAATAGTATTCCATTACATTCATATACCATAACTTGTTCAGCCATTCCCCAATTGATGGACATCCTCTCAATTTCCAATTCTTTGCCACCACAAAAAAAGCTGCTATGAATATTTTTGTACATGTAGGTCCTTTTCCCATTTGTGTGATCTCTTTGGGATATAGCCCTAGAAGTGCTATTGTTGGATCAAAGGGTATGCACATTTTTATAGCCCTCTGGGCATAGTTCCAAATTGCTCTCCAAAATGGTTGGATCACTTCACAACTCCACCAACAGTGCATTAGTGGTCCAGTTGTCCCTCATCTTCTCCAACATTTATCATTTTCCTGTTTTGTCATGTTGGCCAATCTGATAGGTATGATGTGGTACCTCAGAGTTGTTTTGATTTGCATTTCTGTAATCAATAGTGATGTAGAGCATTTTTCGTATGACTATAGATGGCTTTAATTTCTTCATTTGAGAACTGCCTGTTCATGTCCTTTGACCATTTATCAATTGGGGAATCATTTGTATTCTTATAAATTTGACTTAATTCTCTAAATATTTTAGAAATGAGGCCCTTATCAGAGAGACTGGTTGTAAAAATTCTTTCCCAGTTTTCTACTTTCCTTCTAATCTTGGGTGCATTGGCTTTATTTGTGGAAAAACTTTTCAATTTAATGTAATCAAAGTTTTCCATTTTGCATTTTGTAATGTTCTCTGTCTCCTGTTTAGTCATGAATGCTTTTGTTCTCCATAAATCTGATAGATAAACTATTCCTTGCTCTCCCAGTTTGCTTACAGTATCAGCCTTCATATCTAAATCATGAACCCGTTTTGACTTTATTTTGGTATGTGGTGTGAGATTTTGATCTATGCCATACTCTTCCAGTTTTCCCAGCAGTTTTTGTCAAAGTTCTTATCCCGGAAGCTGGGATCTTTGGGTTTATCAAATAATAGATTACTATAGTCATTGACTACTGTGCCTTGAATACTTAACCTATTCCACTGATCCACCACTGTATTTATTAGCCAGTGCCAAGCAGTTTTGATGATTGCTGCTTTATAATACAATTTAAGATCTGGAATGGCTAGGCCACAGAAGAGATTATTTTCTGCCTCAGGATATTGAACTGAATTGGGAAGGTCGTGATACAAAGCAAATCATTGCAATGAAAATAAGGACATTTTAATTGGAGTCACGTAATTATAGAAAGCAGGAGCATTTTCAGGTTTCGTCAGCTTTTCCTCTACCAATTTTGCTTTTGTGTTTTAAAGAATGCTATTTTCTCTATGCTAAGGTTTACTTTGGGTTATGGAGGTGGAGGCAGTAGTAACTTCCAAGGATGAACTCTAAAACGTTGCGTTTTGCTCAAGAACAACTCACAGTTGTACAGTCTTTAAGGCTGACTAAGATGACCTTGTGCAGTAGGTAGTACAAACGTTATTGGGACATTTTTACAGATGAAGAAATTAATTACTTAAGCAACTTGCCCAGGGGCACACAGTTGGTCATTCTTAGAGGAGGACTTAAAGTTTAGTTCTCTCTCCACAGTAACATGCAATTTTTCCACATCCCCAAATGAATAGCTCAGACTTGAATTCAGTTAAAACAGCTAAGATGTTCTCTTATTCTTTCCTCAGCTATCTTACATTTCAGTTGTTGTTCAGGCATGTCTAACTCTTCGTGATCCCATATATCATAGCGTGCCAGTACTGTCCATGGGGTTTTCTTGGCAAGGATACAGGAGTGGTTTGCCATTTCCTTTTCCACAGACATTCAGAGGTTAAATGACTTACCCAGGGTCACACAGCCAGTAAGTGTCTGAGGCCAGATTTGAATTCAAGCCTTCCTGCCTCCAGGCCCAGCGCTCTGACCACTGAGCCGTCTAGTTGGCTCTTAGATTTTGATTTCCTGTTAACTATATTTTCTCTGCCTTTTACAGCTTGCAGACCATTCTCTTCAATAAAGCAGATGGCAGCAAAATAACCATTTGATAGCTGTTTTCTTTCTGTCACCTGCACTATGGCATTTTGGAAAGAGCATTATTAGACTTGGTAGCAAAAGACTCAGATTAAAATTTTGACACTTACTAGCTCCAAGTATAAAATAGCCATGTAAATGTGACCTTCAGTCATCTGCATTACATTTGTCCTAAGTAAAGCAATGGGTCAATCTCTTATTTATTCCTTTTGTCCCAAACATAGCTTTAAAACTCCTTTTTAAAAAAATATTTATGGTTGATTTTTCACAGACTTCAAGTTCACCTCCATTCTTACCCTTGTACTTGGTGACTTGAATTTACAGGTTGATGTTCTCTCCGACACAGTAAATTTCTGGTTCGTCAGCCTCCTCAAATCCCCATGATCTGTGCCTTCACTGTATTCTAGCTGCATATGGGAATTTTCCTCTCCTTGATCTTATAATCTCATCACTTGTGGATTTCTTCTCTGTGTACCCTTTCTCCCATCCATAATTCCAAAATTCCTCATCTGACCATAGCCTCTTAACCTTCCCTCTCTCTCTCTCTCAATCTCGTCTCTCTAATCCACTTCACCCTGCTTTTCCAAGCCATCACTTCTGCCCTCATCTCATTTTCACCCCCTTCAAACTCTTGACTTTATGGTTTTACCCATCCGTGTTTGTACTTATTCTCTTCCCGTAAGTCCCTTGTCTCCTTCTTATTTCACTGCTGCTTCTCCCTTTCCAGATTTCAGCTGTAAATCATGTCAATCATTTGCATACTCCCCTCATCTACTAATGCTATTAAGTGCCATTGGAGGAAATCATACAATTGTACCATATCGATTAACTACAAATTTAGGTTATGTAATCTCAACTGGGTTTTCACAATGTTGGCTAGTACTTTTTACTTTCCCCAATCTGACTATCACCTGTGGAATCAAGACCCCAGACCTCTTATTTTGTGGTACTTCTAGAGAGTTTGTCATCACTGAAGAGGATTGTGGGTAAAATAAGTGATATTAACATGAAGAAACTGTGGGAAAATATCTTCCTATGGAAAAAGGATGTTGCCCTTAGGTAGGGCTATGGAAAGTCCGGAGCTCAATTTTTGTAATGTTTCAATCACAATTCAGTCACTGTCCTTTTTTTTAGGTTATACATGTGCATTTATGCAAAACACTTTCATAGTAGACATGTTGTGAAAAACTAACTCTATTTCCCTTAATCCTATCCTGCCCCCCCATTTATTCTATTCTTTCTTTTGACCCTGTCTCTCCTCAGAAGTATTTGCTTCAGATTACCCCCTTTCCCAATCTGCCCTCCTTTCTGTCATCCCGCTACTCTCTTGTCCCCTTCCCCTCCTATTTTCCTGTAGGGTAAGACAGATTTCTGTACCCAATTGAGTATGTATGTTATACCCTCCTTAAGTCAAATCCTATGAGAATGGGATTCACTCATTCCCTCTCACCTTCCCCCATTTCCCCTCTACTGTAAGAGCCTTTTCTTTTCTGTTTTTTTGTGAGATAATTTACCCAGTTCTACCTTTCCTTTTCTCCTTCTCCTAGTATAATCCTCTCTCACCCCTTAATTTTATTCTCCAGATATGACCCCTTCATCTTCAACTCACCCTGTGCCCTCTATCTATCTATCTATCTATTTATCTATCTATCCATTTATCTATCTATCTATCTATACATACATATAATTTTTTCCCTCCAACTACCCTAATACTGACAAAGGTCTCATGAGTTACAAATATCATCTTTCCATGCAGGAATATAAACAGTTCAACCTTAATAAGTCTCTTATGATTTCTCTTTCCTGTTTACCTCTTCATGTTCCACTTAAGTCTTGTATTGGAAAGTCAAATTTTCTATTCAGCTTTTGTAA